GGGTTAGAATTTTCTCCCTTTGTATGAACGTGGGCTGGCACTTATTCTGTTTATATGATATAGTGCTTTATGAAGGTAACATCACCAACATAAATAACAAAGATGCTGTCTTATTGTAATATCAGAAAAATACTGATTGTGTGCACACTGATATTTTGGTGCATATCATGTTCTCCGTCAACGATTATCAGGCAAAAGAAATATCTGGCAGCGAAACATTCGGATTGGCCAGTGGTAGGCACATTATAATATCTGGTGTTCTGACTAATTACGAAATTAATAAAGACATAATTTTGACCAGTTTATTGCAACTACCACGCATATTGAGAATATTCTAGAGTACATTTCGAAAGATATAGGTCAGTTGCAATGACAGCTATCAAATTTGCTGTGGCAACATCACACGGTATCACAATACAGTCGAGGGGTAGGCTTCTCCTTCCCTTTTACTAGGTTGTATGGAGAAAGGGAAAGCCTACCCATCAACTGTATTTTGGTACCGTATAGGGCAAAAGGACATCGTTGAATATTCGGTAATGTCTTGATGCACTCATTAATGGTTTAGCTTTGTATGGATACCAAAAGTTATGTCGAATTTGGTTTTTGTTCTAAAAAAAAGCATTTCTAAAATGGTATGGAGCAACTTCAACATTTTATGTGCCGATACTCCATCCGTATAGTCATGTTGGTTAATAAAAGCTCTCCAAATCTACATCTTCTGACAATAGTCAAGTACATGGACCATTAAATATGTACATTTTCTTTTTTAAAAAACTTTTTTGGTAATCAAATAAACTAAATAACATTAATATTTGTGTGGGTATGGGACAATAAATCAATTAGTTACCATTATCAACAACTGAATGGTATAAATAATTATAGTGAAAATACAATCAATATACAAAATGGTACTTCATAACATGATTTCCATCATTTCTAAATGTCAATCATGATTGTGAATAAAAACTTCTCTGACCTCACGTGACTTGAATGCACAATATTTAAATCAAATTTTGAACCAAGGTAAAAAAAAATGAATGCATTCAATTTCATTATAATATATAAAATTTCCGTTGACATTTTCAATGCAATTAATTTTTTATAATGTATTGACTGCTTTTACTCAATATCTAGCTCCTCAAAAGGGAAGAAATTTTTGTTAATTTCCTTCATATGCTTTAACAGCAGAAACCACAAAATTAAACAATTTATAAAAGATTTTCTTTTCCATTAAAATCAAATTTTTCAGAAAACAATTGCTTGATTAAAAATCGTGATTTATAAAGTTCAGGAGTTTTTAGCGCTAACTCCCACTGCTATATAACCCATTTCTCAAATACCAATTAATTTCTAGTTGTTACAGTTTCAGAGGAGGATTTGGAAGGTTGATTTAAGTTTACCTCCAGTGAGTACTACATAGACCAATTCATTACTGACACATTTACCTCTTCTAATAATGTTATATCATGAAATTCTTTTCCAATTTTCAGCTACCCGAGGACCCTTCTCAACTTTGCTCAACCTGTAAGAAACAGGGTTTCAGCTTTTTCCCCAACTAGATTTTTTTTCAAAGGCAGTCTGTCCAGTCTCAATCATTGACAAGAAGAAGACGCAAAAGATTTTAATGAGGAAGTAAATGCTTAAAGCATCTTATATATTGATAGAGGATTTTTTTTCATATCTGCTTCTTTATTACACTGGGTACATGTAATTAGTCTGTAATCTGTCACGGTTAACACTTATCTCTACCTTCCAGCCAAATATCTTTATTACCATAAATATACTAAGAATGTTATAATTTACTTAATTCAACTATTCCTGTCAACATGTCCCAGGTTTTAATTGAATTAAAGGAAGATCTTCTTGTATTATGAGGAATATTAATCATGAATGAATTTCTATTAACATATAAAAGATTTGTATCCATATCAGGAAATGAAAACACACAGTTTATTCAGTGTTAACACTGATGTGTGCTGATCAAAGAAGTGACTTCATCAACTTGTGACATCTACTACTAAAGTAATATTGTCCATTGAGATTTCAATTTACTTTGATTGTGGACAAATCTTATGGACTGAAATATTAGTTTTGTTCTTTTATATCTTTCTAGTCACTATTAATGTTTTGGAACTAAATCTGGAACCAAGAGTCTCATTATTTCTAATTACGTATAAATAATTCAATCCATTCCTGGATATATTTAGAGTACTTGTACTGGTAATGTTTATTACTGAGAATTAATTTCAGGAATTAATTAGGAAATGGTAAAAGGTTACAGCTGATTGACAGCCTGAAATCCAATGACTTCATATCAATTTCTGTGAACTTGAGCAGCTTAACAAATCAGGAATTTTTCTAGTGCTTGAACTGTGGATTGGTGATTTGTGGATAATCTTTAGGCTGTACATTTATATATATATATATTTGGCCCGGTCATCATTTCCTAATAAAATATTATGAAATATATCTGTCATAACAGTGGAATAATACCTTGGGTGTAAGATGTACCAGAGTCAATCTAAGTAAACTTAGATTACAATTTTGTATCTTTTTTTTTGATGTGCCTGCATTGTGTTCTAAGAAGTTTTCGACCAAAGACCTGCACCAAATAGGTTGCCATATTGGTCTACTTTGTGTTCCACTATCCCACAATTCCTCATTTGATCAAGATTCAAGTTTTACATGACACGCTTTGATTGGTTATAAATACTACGTTTGGGACATTCCTTCAGTAGAAAACCTCTAGATTACAACTAGAAATATCAGAAAATGAAAGAGTAATGAAATTGTAATCTCATTCTAATTAGATTGTGTAAGAGTGTAAGTTGATTTTCTTTTTTTACAGTTATGTTTGTTTGATATTCAAGGTGCCTTCACTGTTCTATAGATAGCAAGATAGTGTTATTGTATGTGATATGATCTGAATACTGTAGTTTGGTTTTAAATTGTTGTTTTCTGGGTGTACTGTCATACATATTGTTATTCCTATGATTCTTGTATGATGGTGCTTAGATCATTTGTGATTTTCTTAACTCAACAAATTGCCCTCTAAATTACTTACGTTTTTATTAAGTAGTCTGACTGGAGTTCTTTCACATTCATCTGAAACAACACAATCAAATAATTAGAAGGGCTTATATGTCCATAATCCAAAAATAAAAATCAACAAGCCTGCCTAAGGATTCTTGAAATCCCCATGTCAAGGAGCAGTATTATTGATTGAAGGTGCTCTACAAATGCTTTATATTATTATTATATTATAATAAATTTGACACCTCAGCAAAGTTTTAAAGATATTCTTGAAAAAGGTATAATGAAATATTTTGTTTTTTTACTAAGACAAGCTGTCCTAATGAGAAAATAATGTGTTTAGTGAAGTGTTCGAAACAAAATGGAATTCTTTTGTCAGATATATGGCTTTGTCATTCTTTTACACCAACATCAGCTGTTAACAAATATCAAATCTGCTTGGTTTTTAGTCTCAATCTCACATAGATTTGAACTTCCAAACCTTTATATGACAATCACTACAGTATCCTTTCACTGCCGTCTGTTTTGTCAATTCTAAATAACTTTTGACGAATGATGTATTTGCCATCTAGCAAAGTTCCAGTTAAACTTGTCTAGGTCAACATACCTGTAGAATCATCAGAATCTGTGTCATCTCCAGCCATCCAGGAATCATCACGCCATAATTGTGGAGATATACTAGGTGATGGCAATATATCAAGATGTTCCTCATCTGAACTTCCTGTTATTTTTCTAAATTCTAGTATACGGCACTCTGTATCATCTTCATGAGATGTAACACTGGCATGTCGAGAATATTCTGATGGACTGAAATATAATAAAAAATTCACTCAGTCTAGGATCAATTTGTTACAGGGTCTTGTAGACATATGTATGAGGGTAGCTACCAGTGAAGCAGAATTACAAAAATTCAAGATACAAATAATTTCCTAGCTAATTACCAACTTTTTACAAGAAGTCAATGTTTCATCTAGAATACATGTTTAATCAAATCTGTAATTACAGTGCAGAATTCAAAATAATTATCTGATTTCATGTGATAGTCAGTTTCTTAAAATAAAAATGGAGGGAAAATACATCTTTGATGTCCCCACTCTGTTCAATTTTTAGTGTCACTAATACAGTATTTTTCAATTGTTCATGTTGAGCGACCGATATTGTTCAGAGGATAAATGTCTACCAATCTGAAGGTTTCAAGAAACAGCAAAATATTTAGGTATATAAATGCAACAAAGTCATTGTCACCTGCAGCTAGTTACTGTGTATATAAATATGTCAAATTATCGTAGAATCGCCCTAAAACTTTCACCTGACTCTGTCCATATTTTCATTCAAGGTCATATTCCGAAGGTCAGAGTGTTTTACAGACCACAACTACCTTTCTTGCAGATCATAGTCCAGGTCAAGTACTAAGAGTGAAGATCAAATGATGCCAGAAGCAAAAGATAATGAGGATTCACATGAAACAAAAAAAGTATGGTAATTGAGATTTCATACGAAAATGTAGACAAAGCATATTTTCTTCCTTGGGCTGTGCATAGGAGAGATGCAGAGTAGACCCTGCGGAGCATGTCCGTAATTACAAATACACGACAGGATTCCTCGTCTTCCAAGAATTTGTCTTAGCTTTTTCAATCTCCTACAGAATTGACAATCCCGCGTCATAGCCTACACCGGACATTAGTTATTTACACCTTATATTATTTATAAGGCAAGCTTTGTGACTTTATGAAATCTGCCAGTTGGTGGTTGGCCGCTGATTTAGGCTTACAAAATTCATGTAAAGAGTAACCTTACAACCTGATTGCTTAGTATCTACCCTAACCTTCTCTCTCATTAGTGCATACAAATTCTTATTAGTTTTCCAGGAAAAACAGCCCTCCAACTTCTCTCTCCGTATATAGGCAATATTTTTTTGTTAAGTGAATTTGGCTGAATATATTCAAAAATAAGCTGTCTTGCACATGAAATATTAACAGGAAGTCTGTTTGGAAAGAAATCATGGCAACTGTCACAAGCAGTAGGCTAAATATCGAACGGACAATTCAAGTAACGGTAAACAAGGATAGTACGCAAAGGAATCTGTTACGACCAGATTGGTTATTTCTTTCTATTTCTTAGAAATCAATTGCTTTTGCTACCATTAATTGGTCATTCCAGCTAAACCTTTTTAGCACTAAAGATATCAATACTGTGGTGAGAAAACATTGAATGTGGGTCTTACTATCAACCCAAATACAGTCAATATAAAACAAATCGATACCATCCAAATTACTGGACAAAAACTACTTGTTTTCGGATCAACTTAGATTTTTATTTCTCTTCAAACGTTGATTTGCTCGAAGTCTGTAGTGAACTCTTGACGACTCGCAATAATTTGCGGATTGTCTAAAATTAGATTAACCCGACCCTCCAGGGAACCTAATAACGGCTCCAACACGGTCTGTATTCATTAGACGTCACGCCAATGATAACCAGCCACTTTAGTCAGTTTTATTTCTTCCTAAATAGTGACCTAAGTCAATATTAATATCCAGCAAGAGACGAAGAAAACCTAGTTGGCTGGTGAAAAGTTATTAGAATTATAGTATGTCGACTGGTCATGATGATTATCTACATTTACTTTCTTCAGCATCTAAAACTCATAATCGTTTGTGATTTTTTAAAAGTTTTTTTTTAGAAACCAATTTCTTATGTGACATTTCAAAGTCTACCCAATTTTTATATCGGAAATAGAAAGATTGATGTGTCTATTAACAATGTATAGACTTTCCTTTAGTTTCGAACCTAAGAAGACGCGTGTATGTTTTGAAAATTATATTTCTAATTCGAATAAAATGGCATAAAAAGCTAAGAATATGTGTTTCAACCTCAACAATGGCAAGAATATATGTTTCAAGCGTTATAAGGTCATGTGAGGTCTTACTTAAATTTGAGAAACGTATCAGGTATCAGGGATTACCAGCTGATTCTCCAAATTGACCACTTCAAAGATTCAAATATTACTTTGGAGTCACATTCTGTCTAAAGTCACATTTAAACTCAGGATAAGGCATTTCAGCATACCTTGCACTCATCATCAAAAGCTATATATGTAGCTAGTTTAATTTTTCAAAAGGAACCATATAAGGCTATATCATAAATAAGTAGGCGAAAGAAAACATTTTTAATAACTGCTTGAAATATGTTACCGATAAAGGGTTAAGCAACACATACCTAGTGTATGCAAAGGTTTCTCCTTAAACGATGTTCCTGTATTGATTGATTAGATTAGTGATTGTCCTTGTACGTATAGTGTATATTATGTTTATATGTATACGGGAATGTGAATTCATTGTGGCCTTACGTGGGATTTTATCAAACAGTTAGCTCCCTTTAATTGTCATTTTCAGATATGTCTACTTTTTTGAATTTAGTCATTTCGTGAGAGTCATTGTGATTTAACCATGGAAATATGCCAAAATAACAGATATTGAAATTTATCTATTGCATTTTTCATTCATCAAGCAACAAAACATCTAACTATGCCCCACGCAACACCCTACATTTTCATAGTTTTACCATTTATCATCCATAGCCTATTATTTTTGACTATAAGATTCACTCAACGCTTGTAAGGATAAGTCCTCCGATGACGTTACTTTAGATAGTATACGTCATTTTTATCAAATTAATCCGCTTTGCTTATAGGAAAATTCAATATTGCTCAAAGCAAGATGATCATAAAATTAGTAAGGCATTATCCTACTGACCATAACAGTTTAATAACCTAATAAACCTTTCTCACCCTCAAGGTATACCTTACAACTTCAAAGTCATGAACTAAAATTTATTCAAATATTCATAGATAACTGCCTAACCAAAGGAGGATGTAGTCCTGTCAGGTCTAGTCAATTTTCAATAAAATATAATGTCCTGTCAGGTTTAGTCAATTGTCCATACAAGAGATTGTTATGTCATTCTAATAATTCTCAATAAAAATGGTCCTGTCAGGTCCAGTCAATTCTCAATATTAGATAGTGTCCAGCTTTTACCAGTCGATTCTCAATAAAAGGGATTGTTATGTCGGGTCTTGGTCATTTTTTTTAAAGTGATCTTCTCAGGACTAGCTTATCCCCTAAAATTCAGTCAGATTTGGCAATTCTCAATAAAAGAATATGTCCTGTCAGGTCTAGCTAGATTGTTTCCAAAAAACGTATTTAGAAGTGCTTTGATTTAGTAGAGTCTCAGTAAAAAGATTGTAGAGAGATAAATAATATTTACCTATCCATGTCGGGATTTTCTAATATAGATTCCAAATCAGAAATGGATCCTGTGTCGTCGGACAATATCAATGGACCGCGTTTCCTAGTTCCCGGTGGACTTTGGAATAAATTAGCAAGATTGGGATCCGATAAACGATTCCGACGTGAATGCATGTCTCTAAACTTTGCAAGTTCATTTTCAAACATATTATTTTCTATGGGTCCAATCGTCTTTGGTCTCTCTTTTTTGAAATTTTGCTTCCGGCGTCTAACAACTGCAACAGCATTTGAAACACTATTGTGAGGTTCATCTTTTCGGATGGGGGATGTTGGATACAAGGGACTACTTGGATAACACGGGGGACTAATATATGATCTTGGACTTAGAACTGGTGGTATATTACACTGAACAGAAACATCTCTTTGCCAAGGGAACCTAGCATCGAAACTTTCACCAACAATATCCAGTTGCTGATAATTTGAGCCCACTTCTTGATCACTTGAACATCTTTTAAGAAATCTGTCGTTCACATCTGTTGGACTAGGAGTCGATGCACATACTGAATCAGGGGAAATTTTACATGGTTCCGAATTACTATGTTTAAACATACGAGGCTTTCGAGTAAGGCTTAATCCGCGATGCATATCGCTTTCAGGCACTGATTTCACAAATCTGGAAGGCAGGGAACACGTAGAAGGATGACGTCTTGCTAGAGCAGGACGTACTTTCTCTATTTCCTTCATTTTAACACAATCTGAGTTGGATCTGGTGACTCTAAAAGGACCACTGGACACTTTTTTAACACTTGGTCTCACGTCACTTTGGTGACCAGCTACTCCGTTTTCTTTTCTAACTGTTTTGTAATCCAGGCTTCCATTTCGATCCGTGGAAGAGAACCTCTTATCGAGCTTGCCTGTTGAAATCCTTCGTTTACATTCTGTGGTTTTTCGTTCGTCTGCACTCTGCGTATCAAAACTGGCGTTGACCACACTTTCATCGGCTGGAAAATATACAATTAACATTAATTATATGATGTAGCATTAAACTAGATAACCAGATTATTTTAATCCGTATTACGAAGTTTAAATCTGGATTAAGGCGTTGAACCACAAAGTGTTTACTGACAATAACTGGTCAATAACTTTTAACATCGCACAACGTTACGCAGTAAAAGCCTTGAAAACCACACAATGCAACTTTTTATATTTTCTTTGACCATGTTATTAGGATTGTTGACAAAGAATACGTTTAAACTGGCCCTGAAGTCATACTTAAGATATGGCAAGACATAAAGATTGGGGCAATTAAGGAGTGTAGGAGACTGGTTTTTAAAACGTAGTGAATATACAGGGAGGGTTCAATTGATAAGTTCATCCGATCAAGAGATAAAATGGCCATTGTAACAATAACTATTAGCTATTTTAGAGTCGCAAGTCACATTTATTACATATTCTTACAATTAATAATAATATGGACCTTTCCTTTTGATTTTTGAAATTGTAAATATACAGAATTCAGAATTCAATTGCACGGTGTACTTTGGACATATTAAGGCAGATGTATTAAGATCTACCCACAGATTGTATGGAGTTGTCCAGAGGGTTAACTTGATCGGGATTTTATCTATTTTTTACAATATATTATCCCGAGATTAACTATATATCAATAATCCCGTATTATGGATTATCTCACATTACCTATATATGTGATATACTACTAGTATTATGATCAATTGTCCTTCTGGAATTACAGCGAATTAATTATACGATATTTGGAACATTCTGACAATAAGGAAATAAATTTTAATACGATGTGCAATCAGAATATCATTGTTCTGTTATTATTATATAATGAAATATTTTAAAATGTGCGAAGTGCAGTTATGGGATCATCTTCACAATTTCAAACTATTGCGATCTTCGACTTATACCTCCAAAAGCCGCCTTTCTTGTATTACAGAAATTGTAGATGTAGTGATTTGATTAGATTGCACGCTAGCAAATACAACAAATCACAGACTTCGACAAAAAAGTCAGTAAACACTAAGCCATTATGTAAACAGTCTTTCTGTCGAGGGCTTTGATTGGCTGTATTCGCTGTCGTACAATTCAATCAAATCGCTGCATTCCATGATACAAGAAAGACGGCTTTGTAGTCATGATCATTGAATCCCTCAAAGATTTTAGGATCTATTCTCTGAAATTGCGGAGCTAAACATAATCCCACTACATCATTTACATAAAGTATTCTGTACCTTTTTCTCGTATGAAAAATAAAAAAATAATATTGGTTTTATACAGATTTTCTTTTTAAAATGACAAATCCATCTATTTAATAGATAGCAAAGTGACTCAGATAGGAGCGAAAAAGCTCTGCACCACACAGAATAAAATGGCCTCCAAATTCGAAAACCACGAAGTACAACTACTGTCTACTTCATCACCAACAAAACTCTGACATTATTTTATATATTTAATGTAGAAAACCTAATAAGCAGACATCAGCTGAAACATGTAGTTATTATTAATGGGTCAAAGATTTGACGTGGCACACACAAGCAGAATATTGAATTAAAGACATAATGATGTCAATGTCGATTTTGTCTGGTATTGAAGACTATCGTACATTTACATAAATCCTAATCCGATCCTAAATTTGCATATGTATGCCAATATAAGCACCATCAATTATGAAATCATTTCAGTATTTTTAAATCAGATATTTCATTCAGGTTTACTGCAACAAAAATGAAAATTTACATGTCTCATTCTACTCACTGTAGAGTAAAATAGTTTACCACGAAAACATCAAAATGCCCTAGAGAATTTTTGAATATTTACACATAATATCTAATCAAAAACCATATACTATCTTAAATCTACTAAAATCCTTCATAGTAAATATGAACAGACATGAGATCGGTCATAATTACATCACATTTCACTGACTAGTTGGTATTTCATTTTTAAATGAGAATTCTTAACTTTGTCTGATTTTGAAAAATAATCTGCTGTGTATCCTACCGAAAGCTTAAATCTTAAAATAAAAAAAACGACTTTTCCCATTAGAATCTGTGCACTGAATCACCATATGTATCTTAAGAATATTGTTTACTAAACACATATCAGCATCAACACATATTTTTATAAGAGATTACAAAAGTTCTGTGAAAGTTCAGAAGCTAATATGATTTAATTAGAGTCAGATATCCCGGTAAGCCTTTAGCATTATTGTATAAAATATCGGCAAGTAATCTAATTATTGATTCTTGTTCAACATGCTAAAAACATGCTCCACTACACCCATTGTCATTGTCGGTAACATTTTTAATCGTTGGCCTCCCATCGATTACATCAGAAGAACGGTGACTGTTATTGCAACTTTCTAACACCAGAAGTAACCTCTTTCCTTTTTTAGTAGATGGTCAGGCCAGGTCGAGAATTGAATAAGTGTGGCAGATTCAAACAGATGGAAATACGACTAAGAAAAATATTAAATGTACGGAATATGCTTCAAAACGCAAACAGTATAAGAAAAGAAAATGCTTCAAGACACAAACAATAATAATAAGGAATATGTTACAAGACACAAACAGAAAAGTAATATGTTACAAGACACAAACAAGAAATGTAAGGAATATGTTACAAGACACAAACAAGAAATGTAAGGAATATGTTACAAGACACAAACAGAAATTTAAGGCATATGTTACAAGACACAAACAATAAATGTAAGGAATATGTTACAAGACACAAACAGAAATTTAAGGCATATGTTACAAGACACAAACAATAAATGTAAGGAATATGTTACAAGACACAAACAGAAATTTAAGGCATATGCTACAAGACACAAACAATAAATGTAAGGAATGTGTTACAAGGCACAAACAATAAATGTAAGGAATATGTTACAAGACACAAAAAATAAAACTGAAGGTTATTTTGTTTACAAACACTGCAAAATAATATGTAATTAACGTATTAATTGATTTTTCAAGAAAACTGATTTAACTTGAAACACTAAATTGTTAAAAATTACAGATGTCCAAGATCGCATTTTTTCTTTTTTATTAATTGAAACAGATTCGATTTTTAAATTTAACCCAGGCGATTTTTTTGCAAGTGATATAACCTACTGATAAAGAAAAAAAAACAACTATCTGTTACCTGATTTTACATTGAATACCATTTTAACAAACACAATATGATATAAACTTCCACTAATTTTCATGTTCCAATTCAATTACCGCTTAGATCCCCTTGATTCTGGCTCAATAACATAATCGTTCCCATCTTATACAGCTTCAAAGACGAGACACACTTTTATACTTGTGAACTACAATTCTCTAGTCTTCAGTGACGAACTATCTTAAATTGTCAAGGCGGAAACCATACAATCATTCCTTAAGTCTAGTTACGACAACAGAAATCCTTCACTTTCAAACTGTTTTAAGTAAACATAACATACTTCTTACTGCCTCTTGCTTTTTACATTTAAAGATAGGCTCCTGCTTAGAGCACATCATACAATGCAGATTGTCTTAAAATGATGCTTTCAAGAAAAGCAAACCTGAACAGATGTATCTGTGTACTCTCTATACTAAGGTTTTTGTTGTTGTTTTTTTATTTATTACCTTGAGAAACCATGAGATTCCTTGATGGATTTTATTTAAATTAATAAATCGGCCATTGCCATTATTCAAGCTACAGATTACGTTCTGTTATCAACTGTGCACCTTTTGGTGACCACTTGGCCCTACAGAGTTATTTAAGATAAGTTTAGGGGATTCAAAAATGGTTGCCACGCATATGTTGATATATATCAGAGATATTTACAATTTAAACTGCACTATAGAGACACCATTTGAATTTTATTTGAAATCGAGATATAGTAATCTGATCAGTTTTTCCTGGACTTGCAGGAACCATGATGCAAAATTAGGATACCACTTTCAAACCCCCTTGTAAAATAATTTGTAACCTTAAACTGCCAAATACGTAACAGACTTATATTGCTTTAAAATTCGGTACTGCATACACTACAAATCAATTTTCACATTTATTTTAAAATATAATATTATTATAAATCATAAATTTTTATTGTTAGGTCTACCTTTCAAAATTACTTTCTTTACCAAATATCAACACCACAATGGTTGTAACAAACTTTAAACCTGCGTCCGTGCCTTTTGTTGAATAGTAACATTGTTACTTTCAACTGCATAAACAAAACTGTTATGCCTGTATGTACATTCCTGTACCTGTGCTTTCGTAAAGTTTGTTATACCGCAATTTTACAGCCTGTAATTTCTTATCTAGTCCTACTGAGAGTCGGCCCGCTCTCATCCCCTCATACCCATACCCAAATCACAATAACTTATACACAGACATGCGTTTGTAGAATGTAGAATTGAATTGGATGGAATATATGCTTTGATTATCTTAGTAGGTCGATGGTTCCTTAGTTCAATGTCAATATCAATCTGAAAAGAACGCAGTGTTGAAACCTAACCTAACCTAACAGTTCCTTCATCTGACCTGCAATAAATCATAAGAAGTCACCTGAGTGCTGTGCAGTGCAGAAAGTGGTGTGCTATATAACTAGGCTTTTGTTTAATCATAGACGAATTATTATCATCATAAATATAATTATCTATCGGACGTAATATCCTTCTTATTCATATTATCTGAAACCTTGCTATAGTACATTAAATGGCTTCAGATATGTATTGCTAGGAAATTCGCCGTATAAATAATAGATAACGACAGCGGCTCAGTATCAGTCATTGTACTGCAGCTCAGTATCAATCATTGAAGAATAACTCATTATCAGTCATTGTACTGTAGTTCAGTATCAGTCATTGTACTGCAGCTCAGTATCAGTCATTGTACTGTAGTTCAGTATCAGTCATTGTACTGTAGCTCAGTATCAGTCATTTTACAGTAGCTCAGTATCAGTGATCGTACAATAACTCAGTATCAATCATTGTACTGTAGTTCAGTATCAGTCATTGTACAATAACTCATTTTCAGTCATTTTACAATAATTCATTATCAGTCATTTTACAATAACTCAGTATCAGTCACTGTACTGTAGTTCAGTATCAGTACACTCTAGCAACTTTAACTTTTTCAATTTACCGCAAATTATCTCACAAATTAAATTCAAGTAACATGACAATTTAAATACGATTGGTTGATTTTTGTGAATACAAGTTTTTTGAAAATATCAGTAATCAGAAATACATACAGGATTTTCAGATGTAGCGATTCGTGCAAACTGTAGAATTATACTTGAACACTATCTCACTCAAAATGTAGAAATTATATTTGAATCATGTCAGATTCAACTGTAGAGTTCAAATAGAACCTTGCGTCATTCAACTGTAGAATTCCACTTTCGCCTGGTCTCATTCAACTGTAGAATTCCACTTTCACCTTGTCTCATTCAACTGTAGAATTCCACTTTCACCTTGTCAATTTTGACTTCCACTTTAACCCTGTCTAAATCCTCTTTAAAATAATGTTTTATTAAAGCGACAGGTGTGCCATTATGAGGGGTTGATTTGAATATATTATGTATATATTTATGTATTTAAATAGTCTGCAGAAATACTAGAAATGTACGATAATCACATAATTCCTTTAAAAATACTTCAAACTAAGAATTGTACTCACTATTTCTATATATATCTTTTCTATATATCACAGAGTATCTTAAATTGACGAGTCGTCATCTTAACATTCAAACGCAGATAATTCTTGACACACATGGATTTCGACGGTGAGCTGTTACTGATTGACCCAGCTAAAAAAAAATCCAGTTTCTGAGACTCAAGTCCTATTTAAGCTTCTTTTATTAATAAGAATTTACCATTCAATAGAGGTTCCACTATAGCCCCACCCGATTTCTCCAATGAAATTATACTATATCGCATCACCTTACCGCCGTGGACATTACGCTTTAAGTTATCTAGAACATTGACTGAAAATTACTAACAGTAATGACCTCGTGCTCTCTTCCTTGTTTTTGAGACATTTCCAATATTGCTAGCATTTTATAATTCCCATGGTGGGTATCAACTTGTAACTAAGCATGTTAGGAATGTAAGAACTGTAACCCGATTCAAAATCCACATTGATCGCCAAGACTATTAGAAATGGCAAATCCCGATCCCGAGAGTTTGGAGTGGAAATTGATTCGTTTCTATATTGTGTAACATATATAGACGGGTGGGTGAATATTCACAATTATATAACTTTGTGTTATCATTTGCTTTACCAATTATACAAATAAAAGTATCTCCAACATGTCGCCGAGGCTTTGGCAACAAACGTCGCGATCGCATCTCCACAAGCAATTGAAATTTTTCCCGCTCTTGAGAAGCTATCCAGCCAGAAGTCTTGTGTTGCCTTGCGATCATTGCAGAAACATGTTGAACATTCTGCATATCTCACTGGAAAGCATTAAGATGGTCCACTTTTTCCTTCGCCAATGGTTCGCAAGTCATCGCAAAGCCCCAGTGGGACCGAGGCTTTAACAAAGATAACCAAGTCTATTGTTTTTTGTGTACAACTACCTAATAAGCAGACCACGCTTACTCTTTCGACGATTCTTCTCGTTTGAGGAGTCGACTACTACATAATTATCGCTCCCGATTTTGTCATCATTTGGAAAAAATATTTGGTTAATGTAATTGTTTCGCTTGTGAGGATTTTTTTTATAATATTTGTCACTGTTTCTTTAATTCAAGACAATGTTTCTTGACCAAGATATCAAGAATATTCAGTATGTGCACAATACTTCCCGTTGATATAACCTATTGTTTCCGAGTATTACTACATGTCTTACATAGTATCAGTCAATAGTTGTTACATGTTTGAAGTACATCCGTTAATCAATTTTCATCATATCCGCATAAAACAAAGTTTGGTGTTGACGGTAGCACGATAGCCACCATAGTGGGATGCCATAGAGACGTCAAATAACATCTAGTCTAAAGTGTTATATATAACAAACTGTAAGAGAACATCAAGCAAATTAGATATACAGCTAGTCTGAAATTGTCTACGTTTGTGAAGCTTTTGCTATCTACCTTTGACAGATGGTATCTGGTCGATATCAGATTAGATGTATTGATCCGGAGATTGATCTTTTGTTAGTCAATTATCAGTTCACTGTGTAATAAAATTTGTAAACCATTCGAGGTTTTGATAGCACCAGTTAAAAGCTATAGGACGTATAGATTGAATCCACACCTTAACAACATTGATTAATGTTACCTGTATTTAACATAGGCTTATTCTATTTATATGTATAACAGGAAACCACATCATAATCTATTATTTGTACTTCAGAAAATAATTTCCTGTTTGACAAGTTCGGGTAAATTAAATAAAGCATTCTTGACAAATTTCAGCAAAATACACATTTAAGAGAATAACTAATACTTGGGGTATTTAAGATCGCCTTTCAAGAAATCAGAATGCTTTACCATTCTGTTTTGTATAATAGACATATTCAATTATATTTTTCAATTGTTGAATATACCCGTATCATCCTGGTTAATCAACAAATAAAAAGAAATTTTTCCAGATTATAAGTAAAAAATAAGTAGTAACCTCAAAACGAGACCCGAAATCAACAAAAACTTTTCATAGGGGTAAATATATTATTAATCATAAATGGACAACGGTCTAGAAGTAAGTAGATCCTGCATGTCTGGTACCACACCCGCAATTGCTGCTAATGTTCTCATGTTTAATAATATTGAGAAAATTATAAATCTTACTTCCTTCATACTAGTTTACGTCAAACGAATATCTGCTTTTGAACCTCTACTCAGTATTAACAAGACAAAACAATAGATTAATTTCTACTCAATAATCCTTATAGAACAAATACCATAAACTAAACAAAATAATTCAGTTAGATCATGCTTTCAGAAATTGAAGATGATACAAGAGCTTTCCTCAAGGACAAAATTCTTAAAAGTGGCCTGAAGACATAATTTTCTCAAGAAAAGACAACAAGAAGAAAATGTCTTGATAATAGCTTACATAATCATCAATCAATATTTTTATAAAAGATTTCTAAGTTATCAATATCCTTTTGAAGGGCTCTCATATATCGAACCTTTTCATCGGTATGTCAAACTGCCTTCTAGCTCTACTTCCAATATAAGACTTGCAGGAAAGGTAAAATAGTTGAAAGTTAACATTCAGGTTGTT